CCCCACTTACCCCTTACCCCCATCTCTGTTTGGTAGCAATGTTGTGTGTATATTTATCTTTGGAAAGATGATCAGTAAAAAAGAGAAGCATGTTTAGTAGACCAGGAATTGAAATTGAAGTTAGAGAACTTGGTTTTATTAACTCAATACTACCATTAATACAGGTTTTACCACCAAGTAATATTATGATTTTGAAATTTTTGGATGAAAGGTGCTATGTAAATGTAAATACAAAGGAATCTTACTGAAATACAAATAATGCACAACAAAAATATTAATAGTATATTCTCTAGACTTTTATCTATCATGACTCCGTGGACTCAGTATCAAAAATTAGTAAATGGGTATCATGGAAAGCTAGAGATACTTGATGTAAAAAATGTAAATTTATTTTTGGTTGAGTAAGTTGAAAATAAATGTAGAAATTGTTTTAGCTAAATACACTAAGTGGGTAAGTTAGATTTATATTAACTAGCATCTAATTTGCACAACTAGGACACATCTGAGGAGAATTACTGAAAGCTGAAACCTAGTAAGTGCGAGGTGGCCCAAATCAGAGTGTGTAATATGTTTGACGTCTACAAAATACTAAAATCCTAATAGAGAATCTGTTGAGTTAACCAGAACGTTACTGCTTCAACAGGAAGTGCCGAATGACAACCTGTGAAGTACTAAATATGAGTAGACTGGTCCTGAGAAAGGACAACTAAAGAAACAACCAAGGGAATACACTGGGACAGTAAAAATTCAAACATTCTCAATTATATTAATCACATTTTTCATGCCATTTCAAGAAAAGACTAGATAATAACCACATGAGTATTTTACTTTCTCCAAAAGTAACCCTCAGAAGCAGACTTCATAGGAAGCCTTTCTTTTCCCTTACATAAACTTCTGCCAAACAAAATAGTACAGCCAGCTGGAACTAACCAGGACCATTTTCCTCAGTAGGACCTGGATGGTTTTATGTATCTGTCTGTAATTTAAAGTAACATCTAAAACCCTCAGGAAACTGAAAAATTCAATATACTGGGTAATAGCTTTGGCCCAGAACTCTAATAATGTGCTTCAGATCTAGCCATGTGGAAATGTTGTGGTCCAAGTTTTTGAATTGATGATAACCAAAGAGTTCATAAGAAAAGTTCATATATAGCACCTTTCATGCAAGGCACGGTAAAAGCCTAATTTAAAAAAAATCACTGTGCACATTACAGAATTGCAGTCACTTCACAGATGAAGCACTGCAGCCTGTACTGTCTTACCCATCTTTATCAGGAAGTGAGAATGGTACTGTACCAGATCTGGAATTACAATGGGGAATACTACGAATGCTAAATTGCTTTTGTGTTTTAAATTACTTTTTATGAGAAAAGTAGTGAATGTGTTTTTCTTTTCAGCTATTCTTAGTCCTGAGATTTTTTTTTAAACTTTGAGTAATACAAAAGGAACCCATTTTATAATATAAACTTTGATGCACATGTTTAGATAGCTGGACAATGAAAATGCCTTAAAAAAGAATGCTTAATAATGTTGCACTTACAGCACCGTTTAACAGAGCTTAATTTTAAATTGTCTTTTCTTTTCTACTGAGGGTTCTCTGTTCAGTGTCTGTCATTGTACTTACAACTGTTATTAAATACCAAATAATATAAAAGCTGTAACATTTCCTTTAAAATTAAATGCTAATGAGGGATTTGGAGTTGGATGGCAAATGTTTACTACTTGACAGTAACTATTACCAGCCACAAGAATCCAACTGAGGAAACATCGTTGTTTGTCTTTTTAAAACATTTTCATTTTAAAGTGTCTCTCAAACATTTACGTTGGATTAATATTCATTTTTCAAACTGATATAAAAATAAAACAGAGGTGATTTTTTTTTTTTGTAACAAGTGGTTAGTAATCATTTTAAAAGTGTATGATTTTAGCCAACTGTTACTCTTTGCCCTGGAGAATTATTTTCAGACACAACCCATAACTTGGTTTACATTATTTTGTCCAAATCATTTGGGTGTTAGATTTGGGGAGAAAAAGAATACAGTCAGTCTTGGGCTGGAGAGATAGCTCAGTGGTCTAAGTGCCTGCCTGCCAAGCACAAGGACCCGGGTTCGATCCCTGGTTCCGCATACCATGCTGGGCACAATGCTGTGCAAGCCACCAAAACTGGATGTGGTGGCACAAGCCTGTAATCCCAGCACTGGGGAGGCTGAGACAGGAGGTTCACTATGAGTCTAAGCTGTGTAATGAGACCCTGTACCAAATAAATAAAAGATTTTTTAAAAAAGAAAAGAAAAGACAATCTGTCAATTCTCTTCCCCAGCAGTTTTAAATACAGCCTAGGGCCTGGCATGGTAGCACACCTCTGTAATCCCAGCTCTCAGGAGTCTAAGGCAAGAGGATTTTTCATGTTCCAGATCAGCCTGGGGGCTACAAAAGTGAGCACAAAACCAGTGTGAACAGCATAGCAAGACCCTGTCTCAAAAATAAATAAAAAATACGATCTATAGTTGTCCTCTATCAGAGAGGATATGTTCCAGGACATTTATGGATGCTAAAACCACTAGTAGTATCAAACCTTACATATACTTTTTTCCTGTATATACTTATGGTAAAGTTTAGTTTGTAAGTTAGGCATACTTCAAATGGTAATGATAGAATGATTATGGTATATTGTAATAAAATTATGATATGGCCTTTCTCCAGATCTTACTGTATTATACTCCTCTTATGATATTGTGAGATGATAAAATGCCTGAGTAATAAGATGAAGTGAGGTGGGTATAATGACCTAGGGAGAACTGTGACATAACATTAGACTACTAAATACTTGGACCACCAGCTGGAACACCACCTAGTTAAGCCACAGTTCATCTGGCAACAAAACTGTGTAACTAATGGTCAGGTAGTACAGATAGCACAGATATGCTAGACAAAGGAATGACTTCATATTCTTGACAGGATGGTATGGGATGGCAAGAAATTTAATTTAGCTACTTAGAACACCATAAGAACTGTTTCTGGAACATTCCACTTAATATTCTTGGGCTACAGTTGACTACAGGTAACTAAAAACTTGGTAAGCAAAATGGCAGAGAAGGGAGAACTAGTCTAATAGGCTGTACAAATTAATCTTTCATTTTCCCCCCTACTTGGCAAGTGACTGGCTTTGTGTCCTTAAAAGCAGTCTCTCTGGGCCTGTATTCACCATTAGACAAGATAGTCAGGGTCCTCAAATTGTATGACTCTATTCCTTTATGTGCAAAAGAACCTGAAATAGCCTTTTGTAGGTAAAAACGTGGAATCTTAAAATAAGGCTATCACTTTTATTTTGCCTTCCAGTAATAAAAAGTAGCAAAAGGTAAGTATAATACTTACTATATAGAAATTATTTTTTGAAGAATCAAACAGGAAAGTGGGGTTAAGAATACACCATTCGGGCTGGCCAAATAGCTCAGCAGATTTAAACACCTGCAAGCAGGCGCAGGCACTGAGGGTTCAATTCCCAGGCCTCACTGTCTGAGGGCTCGATTCCCAGGCTGGCCCTGCCCCCCTGGGTGCACTGAGACTGGGCATGGTGGCGTGTACACCTGTAACCTCAGCTCTTGGGAGGCTGTAAACAGGTGGATCACTACAAGTCCAATCTAGTAGTGAGACCCTGAACACCCTGTAGACCCTTCCCTAAAATACAAAACAAAAAACAACAAAAAGGAATATACCATTCAGTAGCTAGGCATGATGGTGCATATGTGTAATCCCAAAACTCTGTACAGAAGGATCACAAGTTCAAGCTTTACCTTGGCTACTTAACTGATTCAGCTAATAAACTTTCCAAAATAAAAAAAATGTTAGAAGGCTGGGAATGTAGCTTAGTACAAAGGCCCAAGGTTTAATCTCTAGTACTCCTAAACAAAAAATTTATTGTACTAGAGGAAAATATGAAAATTTTGATGAGAAAGTTTTAGTCTGTATCAGCTCACCTAAAGAAAAGCTTTTGAGTATTAAGAGAAAACTCAAATTTTCTGATTTTTGCATATTGTTTAGCTTCTAGAACAAGACTATTTTCCTAGCTCAGATATCACATTTAAAGGGGTAAATAAAAATACTGAAATAGGACAAGAAAATAGGTTATAGGACAGAAGAAATTTGTACAGTATGTTCACATTTCTAACCTCTGAACAAAGACTGAATATAAACAAATACATTTTAATGGCATAATGTGTATTATGCTTGAGTATTAAAATGTGATTTTAATAGTATTACAATTTTCCATCCCTAGTTTGTTTCTAGATTGAAAGTACAAGACTTAAGAAATCAACCAATAACAAACATTGGAGGGGCTATGGGGAAAAAGTAACCACTTCTGATACAAGTGTACACTGATAGCAACCACTGTGGAAATCAGACTGGAGTTGCCTCAAAAATCTGGGATTGAAAGTCCCATTTGACCCAGCTTTCCCCTTCTGGGAATTTTTCCAAAAGAACTAAAAACATACCACAGTCATATATGAGCACTCATGTTTATAGCAGAATAGTTTGTCATAGCTTAAATCTTGGAAAACAACCCAAATATCCATCAACTAAGGAATGGATAAGAAAGATGTGTATTTTTATATAATGGAGTATTACTCAGCTATAATGAAGGATAAACTCAAGGCTTTTATAGATAAATGGATGCAGCTGGAGGCTATACTCATAAGTGAAATAAATCAGACCCCACATGTGTAAACATCGTGTTGTCTCCTTTTATTTACCTGAGTGAATCTGAAAGGTACAGTAGCTATAGTAAAAGGCAAAGAAGCTGCTCAAAAGGAATAAACAATGTAGCACCAGTCCCGCCTCCAGGGCAGGCTCAGCCTTCCAATGCCCAGCGCTGTGGTGGCACACACTTGTAATCCCAGCGCTGGGGTGGCTGAAAACAGGAGGATCACCACAAGTCCAAGCTGCTTAGTGAAGCCCTGCAACAATGAAATACATTCTAAAAAAAGAAATTCACTCTTAAAAAAAAAATTGAAACATTACCCAAGTTAGAGGGTTTTTTTTCCCATTTCATTGTGATGCTGGGGATCAAACCTAAAGTCTACTAGGTTGTCCTTGGCAAACAGACACCAGCCCAATTAATTTTTATCAAAATTTACTATGATAGGATCATGTCCTGTTGTCTTCACAAATTTGAGAAAATCTTCAGGGCTCAATCCCATGGTGGCAGCATTGGTCATTGGATGAAAATAAACCTTCTCATGTCCACCTTCTAGAAAAGCAGAATCCAGAACAAATTTCACATCTCCATCATCGCAGAAGAGCGCCAGGGGTGTAGCACAACCTTGGCCAACTTTTAGTTTTTCCAGCATGGCTGTTTCATCAGCAAACCGCAGATTTCCACTCCCAACACCTAAGTGCTTGGCAAGATCATTTAAATTAATTTGTCTATCATGAAGAACTGTCACCAACCAATAACTTCTTTTCTTTTTGTCTTTAAGAAAAAGATTCTTACTATGTGCTCCTTTAAGATGCTGAATATGAGGCATCATTTCTTCAACTGTAAACACCTATAAAATACCACATGAGAAGTTGAGAAGTAAAATAATATGCACACACATCCCTATGCATTCTGTGTATGGAGTAAAAACTACAATGTTAGGGAGTAACTGGTACAGACTATTTAGCTTATTGTCGAATAACTATGACTCAGGACCTCAGGCAATTTCTATTCCATTGTGCTGAATATGAGTAGCCAAGCCTTTGCATTCCAAAAATTTTTATACTTTTGGTCATGAAAAGTGCACAGCGTGGTGGTGCTGTTTAGGAGGCTATGGCAGAAGGCGGATGAAAAATTCAAGGAAAGAGAAGGGGATATAACTGGTAGAGTGCCCCTGGCCTTGATCCATAAAAGCATAAACTCATACACTGATAAAACAGACCCTTAACCTCAATATATGGCAATATACTGAGTGACACTTGGCCTCTGAGTGAGCAGTTCAATCCTAGTAACTTATCTACACATAAAGTGGACAAAAGGCACACGATTTCCATGTGACAGCTGTTTCACCGATTCTCAATGTTACGTAAATCAATTATTCAAAGTGGAAAAGGCTAAGTTTCCTCGCGATAACTTCACGGTCCCAACTCCAGAAGCCTGTGCTGGGCCTGCTGGGTCCCCTTTCACACTCCGGGGTTTCTGACCTTAGCGACCACGCCGAACAGTGACACCGTGGGCACCCCCTTCGGCCCGGCTGTGCCAGCAGCACCCCTAAGACGGGAGCCTCACCTCGGGGTGTTCCACAACCTCCGTGCGGATGGCCAGGGCGCCGAGGCGCTGCTCTAAGTCTGCCCGCAGATCCGTCCCCGCCATCTCGCAGCCACGTAGTTGACGCCAGGTCGGAAACGCCGAGAGCTGCCCCTTCCGGAGG